GTTTCGGTTGCAGTAGTTGCATGAAACAGGAGGACGTGTTACCTACACCTCTAAGAACAAACTGCTACACTTCATATAGTTCTGAGGCCTTCATGTTGTAAATTTCCTGCTCTGAACTTAATCCAATTGGACTGACAAACATGTTTTTTCATGACCTATGAGCTGCTGTCACCGTCTGAAGAAATCCAGCACTCCTGACCAAAACCAACCAATGTTGCTGCTCAATGTGCTAATGGTGGAAAACATGGATTCACCGTTACAGGGAACCCATGAGCTCTGGAGGAGGACTCTGATGCAGGGGCAGCTGTTTGCACTCCTTCAGACTGGCGTTTGAAGAAGAAAGACAAAAAGTTGCCATTCGTTGTTGAACGTCAGAAAAGTTTGCCGCAAACAGTGAACTCTGGCTTGACAATGTCAAAACCGGTTTCGAATCAACAGACACCATTTTATCTTGATTTGTCATGTGAAACTCTATCAAACTGAAGTTTGTGGTTGTAAAATGACACCACAGATAATATCAGCATGGATAGATGTGAAGATTTAAGGTGGGTTCATTATTACTGACTGAAATGGTAAATACACTGAATTAATTAATAAATTCATACACCTGTTAGCTTTGGTGGCTAGCTTGGGTTAGATACCTTGCCCAGGGGCACATCAACATGTAACAGGAGGAAGCTGAAATCAAACCTTCACCCTTATGGTAAGACATGTGTTCTACCCCCAAACGACAATTGTTTATTTTTAAATGAAATTTTAGCTGTATTTTGTGTCAGTTCTGAAGTTGGTGAAATGTTGGAGGTCACAGATGGTCAAAGTGTGAAAGGTGATGTACAAACTGACACATATGTCAGTTTGTACATCACCCGATATGGATGTCAGGTGAAATCCATATCAGCAGCTAAAAGTGACCTGCTGAATTAAAATAATTCCCAAACAAAGTTGTGTCATGACTGGCTGTAATTGAGGCAGCAAATTCATAGTGTGGCACGAAGTCAATAAATTGATCACTGTTGATTAACCTTTAACTCTGTTGTTCATAGGTGTCAGAGGCGTAAACTGGCTTTAAAGACAATTGTTTTCCTGCTTCATAATTGTGTCTGATAGAAATATTTATTGAAGTGAATCTATTCTTGGCAGTCTGGTTTTTCTAGAAAATATGGCTGAACTGTTTAGCAAAAAAAATGAATGAATTCATATCTTGTTTTAATTTGATCTCAACAGATGCATAGTGTGTGTTAATTTAACTATTTCAGGCAGATTTACACACATGGACAAAAGTTCACAGTGTTCGGTGTCAGTCTCAGGTCATTCAATGGATGCTTTCTTCCTCAGGATACACAGACAGATCAATATCCTATCAATGAGTCCAATTTGGGTTTTCTGTGTTGTATCTAGGTTGGATGTGAACGTAGCTCAGATCAGACAGTGGACAAAGAAAAGGCAATTTTACCAGCATTGCTCTGAGAAGTAGCTCATATAATGAGCTCAGCAGTTCCACCAGGTCTTTGCTAATTGTTGCTGACTAGTCTGAAGGAGCAGAGTGGGGATCTGCAGGGGAGGATTACTCTGTGAGGCTGAAACTTAGAAGCTTGTTAGCTGCAGCTAACAAGAAGGCAGGCCTAGGTCCACCCAGGTATTTCACACAACTTAACGGTTGCCATGTGAGAATAAAGGATCAAAAGATTTCTCAAATCTACAAAATAATTTTCTGCCTCCAGCCATTTCATTTTGTCCTCACCTTGGTTCCCATTGTGATGGTGTTGAACCTAGCAATTTCTTCATATCTTTGATTTTCCGAATTTCTTTGGTGTGATGTGAGTCAGGGGTTGCATTTGCCTTCTCAGAAATTACTGGCACCACAGGAACGAATGTCTGAAGCCAAAACCAGATGAAAACAGGAAAGTAAAAACCCAACACACTCCTGGAGCACATGCCTCGTCCCAGGCATGTGCTCCAGTTTGAAATGTTACCAAAGCTTCTCTCAGCCCTTTGATTCACACGCTGTGGAGGAGGTGTGGAAGCAGATGAATGGAGCTTGAATGAGTGGGTGGGGCAGATGTGAATGACTCCAGCAGCATGATTTTCACTGCGAAAAATGACTCATGTTTATTCTGGACAAACAGCTAAAGCATGCAACCAAAAGGCAAGGAGTAGAAAAACGTTTCCTCTGTCACCGTCACATGGAGGCGACAGAGGGGCTGCTCAGGTGACATTAGTGGTTTCAGCCGCCAGTCTGCACTTAGAGATGACATGTGAGCAGATTTTAGCTCTCCACCTGCGTGTGTAAATGGTGAGTTTCATAGCAAAGAGAAGGCACATCTAGAGGAAGTGAACCAACCGCTACTTCCATTTGAAGTCAGTCATCACAGTTAGAAGTTCTCCAAAAGTCAAACAGAGAACAACCTCAGTGTGACAGTTCTGCTGTGCTGCAGCTACTTCTCCTGGCCTTCAGGTGAACACAGGTGAAGTCTGTTCCTGTGCAACTGCTGCTTCTGCTGCTGAGGAAAGCAGTTCATGTCATCTCAGTCTGAGCCGGAGACACTTTTAGTCACAAGGTTGGATTTGAAGAAACAAAGGTGTGGAAACATTTAAAGGCATAGTTCACTCTTCATATTTCAGGTCCATGATCCCTTCCCTGATCAGACTGTGTTTGCGTTAAACATGTTGAGCAGCTGTTGAAATAGTTCAGCTGGAGCTATCAGCTCTGTCGTAATTCAAAAAGTCAGATATGTATGATAGTCATGGCCACACCACATTTACTAAGCAGCAATTTCTCTAATAAAAACTAACTGTATTTGTATATCCAGACACGACTGGTTAAAAGAGCTCCCAGTATTTGATTCTGATCAGGCTGAGCTGGATCCTCTGATCACAAACAAAACAACACACACATCACATCACCTGCATTTTATTTCAACTTATAGTCATTTCTTTTTACTGCTGCCTTCAAAGACCACTCTTTCCTCTCTGCCTATAGCTGATATTTATATTAGCATCATGTCACCTGACATCTGGCTGCAGTATGTGCTGACGTCATCCCAGCTGACATCCAGCGGCAGGGCGTTGCTGCGTCTGCCCCACATCCAGGCTCCAGGCCTCAAAAGTTATCAGCGGATGTCAGGCTCTCTTTGGAAAAGAAATAAGGCTTCTTTTTTTCTTTTTTGAGAAAACAAACACATTCTTACTGTGGGGACAGAGGCAGCTTAAATGTTGATTTCCTGTTTGTGCCATGTTTGTTGTTCTGTGAAGTTTCAGATCTTTGCTTGGTGGCTCCCACTGCTCACTGCTCCACTTTGGTACAAACTTTGCTCATGTCACATGGAGAAGTTGAAACCTCCAGGCAGCAGAAAAAACCAGGAGGACGGCTCCACCCATCGCTTAGGAGATGGTTTTTATATGCACACATGCACCAGCAGGACGTCACTCAGACTCTAAGACATTAAAAATGTTGTGTGCTTAAAAAAATGAAAGAGGGAGTGAAAACCAACTAGAGAAGCTGTGAGACAGCAGGAGTGGACTGACATGTCTGCAGTGACATTCTGAGAGTTTGTGACCCAAAGTGCAGGATGTACTGTGGATGTGTGTGTGTGGGTGTGAGTCAGACACACAGGAAGGATACACTACTGTGAAAACCAAAAGAATTAAGAAATTCACAAATTTAAAAGGAAAGTAGTCATAGAATTCTGCCTGAAAATAGTTATTGCATATTTTTTTACTTCCATATACATATTTCATTAATCTTGAAGGGAAATGTTATAACTCCTATTTTTCCATAGTTATTGAAGATGGTGATGGCTGGCAGGATGGATCTCTTCTGTATCACTGTGGTTCTGCAGAAACCGTCATCTAAACACTTTCTATTTTCCCAAGACAGTCTCATGAAGAGGACAGTCAGGGTTGCCCATAATTTGATGTAAGATCCCATTTTTGGCATCACAATCTCCAGAGGTTTCACAGTTGTCCCCAAAACAAAACCAGAACCAGAACAGAACTCATTCACCTCTGGTTCTGGTGAATGAGTTCACCAGAACCAGAGGTTCAGGTGAACACCGAGGTATTTATATTCCTAAGCCACATCCATTTCTTCTGGAAATATGGTTTGATCTTACTCTGTTCTCCTGAAATCTACAGTCATCTCCTTTGTTTTGTTCACATTTAAGATGAGATGATTGTTCCCTCCATGACACAAAGCGCTCTGTACTCAGACTCTTGTCCATCTCTGATACATACAGCAACTGCAGAGTCATCGGAATATTTCTGTAAATGACAGCAGTAAGACTTTTGTTGGAAGTCTGACATCTATGTAGTAGTGAAAAGGAGTGACGAGAGTACAGAGCCCTTTGGAGCTCCTGGGTTGCTGATCACCTAGTTAGACACTCAGTGCCTCAGTCTCACAAACTGTGATCTGTTTGAAGGTGATTGTTGAGGCCTCTGCCTGTGTCTTCTGGAGATTTTAACAAAGCAGATCAGGCTGAATTGTATTAAATGCTGTGGAGAAAACTTGGAAAATTCAGAGTTTCAATAGAAAAAGAAAAAATGATTTCCATGTTGTTGTTATTTTTCAGAATATTTCTGAGATTTTATTTATTTTTTATTTTTTTTTTTGGTGGTGGAAATTTAGTCTTTTTTTTCCCTAAACTAGCCCTGATATGACATCATAAAACTCTAACTCAAAGGAGTGTTTCAGTGTTTTTACATTTGAAACTCTTTGAAATTCTGACTGCAAATAGAAATCAGAAATAATTCCTTGAATGTCTTCCTTATTTATCTCCTCTGTAGGTCTTCATGTTTTTTCTTTTGTTGAAAATAAAACACCTGATATGTTTATTAATCTTCATTTGTTTTTTGTGGATGAGGAGAGATAGATTTAGAGAAGCAAAGAAAAGCTTGTTGATCACTGAGAGAGCGAGAGAGGAAAGAGAGCAAGAGAGGAAACTGCATGTGAGAAAGCAGCAGCACACACACACACACGCACTCACACACCCGGAGCATTAACCATGCTCACGAGAATCTGAAAGAAAGACAGAGAAGTGAAGGAAGAAGGCAGAGGGAGGGGAAAAGGCAGGTTTAATGAATTCAGGCGAGAGGGGAGGGATGGAGCGTCTGCTGAGGATCCAGTGGTCGCTGCTACTGCCGCTGCTGTCGCTGCATGTAGCTGAGCATTTGCAGTGAGGACGTCTCTGTGGCTCGCTGGGAACCAGACACCAGTCCTGCACAGCCACAACTCCACGCCTGAGACACGGGTTAGAGGTCTGCCTGAGCCGGTAGGGCAGAGACCGGGATGGTGGACAGTCTGGACTGGGATCAGCAGAGCCCACAGGTAGGACAGACTCCTTCCCCCTGTCCCTCTCTGTTCCTCTCTCTCTGGTGTGGAGGAGCGTCCTGGTTTCTCTCTTCGTCTGTGTGTGTGTCATCTGATGTTTGTTGCTCTTTCACTCTTATCCGGTTTTGGCTTGCTTTGACGCATGTCACATGTTTGTCTGAATTTCTCCCTCGTGCTTCTTAAACTTACATTTTATGCTTCCTTATTGTGCCGCTTTGTGAAGTCGACGGGTTGCCGCTGAGCCAAGCAGCATTTCAGCACATGATGGGATCAATACGGTGGTCTGATCAGCTGGTGTTTCAGGAAGGCAGCAGACAATCCCTCCCTGGGTCAGGTCACACTTTCCCAGAAAGAAACATCTGGTCAGACATCCTCCAGTGTTGAGAGGAGGCTCATTATTAACAAATGATAATTAAGAATGAGTACAGACCACATGGTCAGTTCACAACTCACTTCTGAACATTTTGCATCCACTTCATGCTAATCCTGACTCTGTCTAGTTGTTTTGACCAAGAGCTGCACAGTCTTACACTCTTTAATCCCAGCCTGCCTGATTCAGAGCGGCGGTTTAGTTGGAGACTAATTTCCTGTCACACACCTAATCACATCTCATAAAGAAATCACCAAATGTCATGGTTGCTCTTTTCCTGGACGGATCCCAGTCAGTGGATGACGAACATGCGGAACTTCACCGCCTGACTCTCCTGTGCGGAAACACGACCTGTGAGCCGGAGAGGGCAGAGCTGAGCAAGACAGTGGATGTGAGCAGGGCGTGTTGGGAGGCTCATTTCACTGCACTCTGAAAATGTGGCTCACATTCTGAGTGTCAGGATGGGACGCATGCGCCGGTGTGCACTGCATGGTGAGAGGACTGGACCGGAGCATGCTGCTGGGCCCCTCTGATGATGAGCCACCAATCAGGACGAGCCTGAAGGAGGAAAAAAAACAAAACATGGCAGTCTGTCTGGATGAATAGTCACTCCACTTTCACAGGATGAAATACGGAAGGAGACCAGAAACTCACTAACTCCTGATCCACTCTCCAAACAGAGATGGTGGCTGTTTGGACCCATGTGTACCGTATTCTGTGTGTAATCAGAACAAAAACTCTCATTTGTTTTTGTTCTCACTGTAATTCAAATGGAACCAACACACTTATCAAATGGGTGCACCCAACCACTATGACAGGGAAACAGAAATGTTTTTGCTGTCATCATTCAAGTGGCCAAGAAAACAAAACAATCTGCTGGGAAGTAAACTTAGTGTTTGTGTAGGGACAAAAAGCCCAAAGCCGAGGAAGGGAAACCCCATTTGGTCATAGCATCCATGGTTAAAGGAGCAGTATTATGTGAAACTGTTTAGAGCTCTACATCATTTTATGATATTATTCTCTCATCAAAAACCTACCTGGAGTTTTGCCTTAATTGTTTCATGCATATTTAAGAAATCCTATAATCTCCCATGACAACCTTTTCAGCTGTGGAAAACACCTGGGTGGACCTAGCCCCTTTCACAGCACAGTTCTTCCTCAGAGCTGCGGCTGCCAAACCTCCACCTCACACACCCCAAATATCCCCCCGCCCAGCTCCTTCAGACTAGCCAGCAGCAATTAGCAAACACCTGGTCGGACTGATGAGCTCATTATAGGAGCTACTTCTCAGAGCAAATAATCTTATTTTAAAATACTTTTGGAAGGTTTGTGTGAGCCTATCCATATCTGACACTGATGTTACACCTGCATTTCCTGTCCGTGGGACAACAAAGGCTATTTATATTCTTATTTTATTTCTATTTTTATTTTCATACTTTAGATTCAGACAGCCAGAAATGCTGAGTAAAATTTATTAAAGGGTTAATAGAGGAGCCTTGTTGTGATGACTTCCTGCAGGTGGAGCTTCAGAAAGAGCAGGAGGTTTTAAAGAGACAGAGGCCCAATTTCAAAGCGTTAAGTTAGGAAGTTAAATGTCTTTTAATTCATATTTGATCTACATAGTTTTGTAACAACTGAGGTTAACATACAATACTGACAGATGTTTTGGAGAAAATCTATCTGATTTTGTTTTTAATCATAAGATGCCAGGTCAGGTGTCAAGGCAAAGGGTTTGGGTTAACATTTGTTTCACATGACAGAGTTAATTAATCATAGTCTTGTTATCACATGAAAGGTTTTCAAAGGATTTAAAGCAAAGTACAATGTTTGGACCCAAAACACAGAGTGAGCCTAGAACGGTACTGAGCCTCTCAGAAGTATTCACACATTTTGAACATGTGTGCCTTTCCAGCACCAAGCTTCAGCGCATTTTATGTGACAGAGAAATATAAAGTAGCACAGCTTTGGGGACATGCGAGAAAAATCTGAATTATTTTAAAAATAAAAATCCCATGGCATGCAGTCAGTACTTTGTAAAAGCATCTGTGATTGCAGAGACAGCTGCACTGAGGTGAATGCAGCACAATGGCTCCACAGTGTGAAGCTTTAGAACAGAAATGTCATGTGATGATCTAATTACATTCATCTCAAAACAAAACTACTGAAATAGTTTGATATCATCTATTTATAATAGTATGTTACAATGTTAACAGATATATAGTATATTATTATTGCTATTATTGTTGCTATTGATACCCTCATTTTAATATACTTTTAGAAGGTGTGTTTTAGCCAATGCATATCTGACGTTGATGTTACACCTGAATTTTCTCTCCGTAGGACAACAAAGGCTATTTATATTCCTATTTGATTTCTATTTTTATTTCAATACCTTAGATTCAGTTACCCTTTTCCAAATCAGCTGCTTCGTGTATTTCTAACAGATTTTTAAATGAGTTTCAGGATCAGATAAAGGCTGAACTTTCTGTTCAGTGTCAAGTGGTAAGATTAAATCTAAAGTAAAAACACACAGAGATGCTGTGATGTGGGATGAGCTGAGTGTTAGGTATTTTCCTCGAACCTACAATAAAATAACCACAGACAACGTATATGAATTAAATATGGTCAGGCTTCTGCAGGAGAAATCCCGATCAACAGCTCCTCCGGGCTGGTCAATAGAGAGTTCTGATCTGCTTTCACGTGAGCTCCCTCTTTATTGTCAAAGAACATCAAACAACAGAGGTCGTAAAACATTTAACACAAACAGACCAACAACTCAGTTCCAGGTGTGATATCTAATTTACAATCTGAGCCCAGTTCAGCTCTAGGTCAAACTGTCACCTAAGACCGGGTAGATAAACACCAGAGAAAACTTTAGGGTCTGAGAACCATAAAGTTTTACTATCTCGCATGAAGACAGTCGTAACCTCCAGGTCAGTTTATACTAAATCACAATAATACTTTAGACTGAATATAAACTAAAGTAACAACAAAATGATAATGTTAAAAATATCTAACATTCCCCCCTTTTTATCATTTTACTATGTGTATAAACTGCTATGCAGAAGCCAAATATAGAAAATAAAATAAAAGAAAATAATAAAAAACTAATCTAAACACAGAGAATACATAATTAATAAAAGTTATAATGAAATACATAAAAAACAAAAGAATAAACAGTAAAAAAATCAAATGCAGTTTTCTCATCCTAAACATCACTTGTTCCCACATTTTCGGTGTAGGAGTCATTCAGCAAATGAATTCATCTGTTTATTGATTACAGAAATTCATCATTGTTCAGAAAATCGTCAGAAACTTGGAACAAGTCATCTTCAGTTGTTTCATAAGATGCCTTTGTCAGCTGATATTTAATAACAGTCGTGTTAATTGTTTTAAATATCATATTTCGTAGACAAGGAATAATACAACTGTTTTAAATCTTCCAGCACGTTGGGCCAATGATTTTGCAGACCCCTCCCTGAGGGGCAGTGAGACAGTCCAGGACAACACGGTTTTGCATAACCATGTTTCTCAGTTCAGTCAGTTCTTTCATGGTGCCATTGGCCAGCTGGTATGTGATGTTGATCAGTCGTAATAATCCGTACCTGTTTATCTCAACATGGTCTCGAATCTCTCCTAGACCAACCCACGGAAAAAGACCTTGCATAAATTTTTTTCTCCGCCGTTCCAAATCCTGAATTCCCATGGAACTCCAGTATGTGTTCTTAGGCCTCCCCATCTTTTGACCTCTGGCATAGCTGTTCGCTTGGAGCGGGTGTGTAGATCATTTTGTGCTTTCCAGTCTGCTAATATCTGAGAGCCATAATCTCCTGGCACTATGGCGCTGCACAGTGTTGTCATCTGTCTCCTCTTAGTCTTATGCGTGATGTTGAAACTCCTCTCCTGAAGCAGGTTGACAATCTGGGTTTCCTTCCAGACTTTGCAGTGTGGAGTCGCCCTTTGACCCCTGCAGGCTGTGCAGTCGATGAAATCCTGTGTCGGTTCGCAGTAGGTGTAAACTCTGTTACACAAGTGCCAGGGCAACGTCCCTAGAACAACATGTCCATTATTATACACACAGATCCTCAGAGATCCTGGTTTGGCTCCTGCCAACGAATGATCTCTGGTATTTTCCATACAGTTTGTTGAGATGACGAAAAGGAAGTAACATCGTCTGCCAGTGAACAAGTTAAAAATTGAAACAGTCCTTGCACTGCCTCTCCCATCCGGAGGTCAGCTGAATAGTCCTTCTCACGTGGTCTGTCTCCCCTTGGTGGTGGAATATGCCGCGGTCTAGTGCTTAGAACATAGACACATGTTTGTCGTCAGCAATGTTACCTGGTCGGAGACCTGAGTTGTGTATGAAAACCGGCAGTTGCGCACACACGTAGCAGTTCACAGCATGTCCCTCATAGGCAGTTCTGTTCATCAGTTTTCAGCCAAAGATTGGTACTGTAGTCATGTGGGTGGAACTCAGGCTCGCTTCCTTCACCAAACATCAAACATACAACAGTCACAGCGCAGCAGAAAATCCATCTGTCATATGGAGTCCCCATTGTTGCTTGACGTACAGAGATGTCAGAACCCCCAAACTAAAGGAGTGAGAATCTTAGCGTTTCTTCACCGG